TGTTTAATATAACGTACGTGACACATTTCAACATTATCTGTGTTACTTTACTTACTCTTGGATATAACTCTTATTTCTCTGTAGGATGGAGATACAGCATTGCACCATGCAACATGGAATAGACATGGGAAAGTGGTTGATCTATTTATAAATCATGGAATTGAGCTGAATATGAAAGGCTATGTAAGACATAATGATTATTTATCATCTTATCACGTTTGGGAAACATTCATGTTTGTCATATTTGTCACAACAAATTGTTCACTGTTTATTTCATTATTATACATCTACTACTGTAAACTATGGAGTTTCCGGCATAACTATGCAACTTTATGTTATTCTGTTAGATCTCTTCACCTCGTCAGTAGATCAACATCAAAATTACCTTTAATCAGGCTAACTTTCATCTGAATATATATTTTCATATTTAAAATAAAATATGAATAATTTGAACTCAAAATTTTCTGTTTGACTCTATTACCAAACCTTGTATAAACAAAGACATTTCTGCAGTTGTTATCAATGAGCGGCAGTATTCTGGTCGCTTATCTTCAATTTAGATACAATAATTCTTTCTGAAAATATTTATTAAGGGGACTACACTAATATGTGCCAGTTACGGCTTTTATCGTAGGGTCTGATGAAGTGTAGAACGAACGCTCAGAAATTATGTGCAAATAGCGTGTTCGATTATGCAAATTTCGAAAATGTTATTGACATCGCCTGGTGGCAAACTCTGAGAGCAAAAGCATTAGTTTGTTCCCAGTGTATGTTAAAAAAGATGTATAATAATAAGGTTGTTAACAAAATGCACTTCAGCATATGCTACGCTCAGACAATACCTCCTCTGTACGATGTACTTGAGCACAAATTGTGGTATTTTGTTAATAAGCTTATATTATTAGACCTGAATGCATATAGAAATATCTCATTTGTGATTTTCATTTTATGTCATACAGATTTATTGGAATTACTATTACGTCACAGTCACCAACATTTACATATACTGTTGTATGATATGTTTGCAGGGGGAGAAGACAGCATTACATTATGCAGCGCAAAAAGGTGAACTTGGCATATTTAAAAGACTAGTTGAGGCAGGAGCAGACTTGGAGGCCAGGACAAAGGTAATGAAAATAATATATAATAAGTCTGATTTCAAGATGGCTGAATGGTGGCCATTTTGTTTTAATGAATGTTGTTCTCTCGCATGCCTTGACGAATCGTGTTCAAACTTTATATATACTGGTACATCATGTCACACATAAGCACATGTATTCATTCAATTTAATTTAATTCAAGATGGCTGAATGGTGGCCAGTTTGTTTTAATGAATGTTGTTCTCTGACATGCCTTGACGAATCATGTTCAAACTTTATATATACTGGTACATCATGTCACACATAAGCACATGTATTCATTCAATTCAATTTAATTCAAGATGGCTGAATGGTGGCCATTTTGTTTTAATGAATGATGTTCTCTGACATGCCTTGACGAATCATGTTCAAACTTTATATATACTGGTACATCATGTCACATATAAGCACATGTATTCATTCAATTCAATTCAATTCAAGATGGCTGAATGGTGGCCATTTTGTTTTAATGAAGCTTGTTCTCTGACATGCCTTGACGAATCATGTTCAAACTTTATATATACTGGTACATCATGTCACATATAAGCACATGTATT